AATCATTTCTATGAGCTGATGCAAGGTTAAGCGGTGGTATATATATGTATATTTATATATTTTTTATTTAATTTATTTTTTTATTACCTTTATTGCACAACACTTGCAAAAATGATTACATCCAATTCTCCTTGAAACATCCAGTCAGTAAATTAGCATAGCCATTTAGCTTCAGCATTAAAAAGTGGCACCTTGGGTAATTTTGCACGTATGTTAATCATGAAAAGCTAGTTTCATATTTTATGTAGCTGAATTATGTCATCTAATTAAAAAATGAGATGCCCAGTAGCAAAACTAAACATCTACTTAAATTAGTCAAGGTGGCCTTATCAAGGTTGCGGTATCGTGTTTTTGTCCAACCTATGACAAAAGACACCCTCTCATTGAGACATCAAACATCGTCCTTAAAAATGATCTATGGCATGAAAATCTAAATGAGTTGGATCCAGCATGGTGCCTCGTTTAGAAGCTCTCTGCAGGTTTATTAGAATGATCACAAATGAACTGTCTGATGTTTGTTTGATGTTGCTCGAAACGTGTTGGCAGTTCTGTGAAGCACGGACAACCAACAGCTACTGCTGGCTTCATTACACACTCTCTCTCTTCCTCGGTCACGGTCTTACTTTTACTTTCTTCATATTGTTTGTCAATGTGGTGGTTTGATGACTAAAAGATGCAGCCGGAGCGTCTATCTTCTTATCTCCCATCTTACTCCCACTCTCATTTCTCTATTTTACTATCTAGTTAAGACAGGATCATCAGCAGCTCAACTGAAAATAGTTGATAGATGTTACAATGAAAAGGTTGTAAAGGGAATGCTGTGCAAATACACACATTATGCATTTTTAGTTTTTACATCACAACAAACGAGCAAACAAAAAAGCACACATTTGTTTTGTTTTTTTATAAATATTAAAATGTATTAAAAATCCAACAAAGTTAAATCAGGTCCTCTGGACGGCTTGTTGTTGTTGTTGTTGTTGAAATGTTTCATCCTTCATCCAAAGGCTTTCATCAGTTCGAGGAGCCACAATAAACTTAGTCCCATAAGTGGCTTACTCACATAATGGGCCAATTTTACTTGGATTATTGCCCATGAACTTTCATGTTTTGAACCATTTTGGCCATGGCTGCCTCAGAGGAGTCGATGGGGGAGAGGGTCGTCTCAAAAAAACACCTTATAACCATGAAACTGGTTGGTCCACTATGTGAGTAAGCCACTTATGGGCTGAGTTTGTTGCGCCTCCTCGGGCTGATGAAGTCCTTCGGATGAAAGATGAAACGTTTCAACACAAATAAATTGTCAGAAGGACTTGACCGAACTTTTTTTAGCTGTATCATTGAGCATGAACTTTGGTATTAATATTGACATTAGTTTTGTCTCCAGTTGCAAATGATGGATGCATATAGGATGAGTCTATGTCACTTTAAAATACAAGTAGCATATAAAATATTTTGGCAAAAAAAAAAAAAAAAAAAAAAAAACTTGAGTTTTTTGCTTTTTGCTCATAATGTCCTCCAAACATAAGTGTGATTTGGTTTTCTTATCGAATGAAGCATGAAGAACGTTCCTCTCATTTGGCAGCATTCTCTATGGGGGAGGTCCTTGAAATAACTTTCAGTCCACATTAACTCACTTTTTTTGCAAAGTCGGTTATTTTGGTATCTAGGGTATGCAAAACACATTGCTTTCAATTGACTTCTACTAATTAAAAAACAACAACAATGACAATGTGGATTTACATTATTTTATTTAAGCATTTTGTTTTTCCCTAATGGATTTAGGAATTCAAGAGATAAAAAAGAAATTTAAAAAAAGTACAAATAGGGACTTGTATGTTTCATGTCCTGGTTTGTTTAGTTTTATTAGAAACACCCCAGAGTTTAGACCACTGGTGGTAGCTTTTTTATATATTTTTTTATTATTTTAATTATTTATTTTTCTTATAAATTAGTTAAACAGTATTTTAGACACCTGATTGTTGTCATCTCTTTAATATTTCCTAAAAACAACTGATGTGTTTTTACTTCTGCAATTATAGATTGGAAAATGTTTTTGGTTGCTTCCCACAGTTTCTTCCAAGAAAAAAAAAAAAAAAAGCTCCTTTTCTCCATGAATCAAAGTTTGAGTGAAAGCTTTGATATGAAGAGCAATGATGTAAACCTAATGACCATGAAGTCATTACACACCATCTGTGTAAAACAGCAAAGGAATGAGCAATGGAAGGAAATTCAGATAATAATCAGCTCTCTGTTGGTGACAGTGCATGAATGTGAATAATCAGAACACCTGCAAAGAAAAGTCGAGCAATTTCAGCTTTCATTTTCCTTTTCAGTGGCACTCAAATATTCCAATGGTGGAAATTATGCTGCTGCTTCGCACCGTTTGTAACAAAAAGACAAACTATGTTTTTTTTTGTTTTTTTTTTCTGGGGGGGAAACAACCATAATAAAATGTGGATATATATATATATATATATATATATATATATATATATATATATATATAGGTGTGGGTGAGAGAGTGAATTATTGTTTGTCTTATGTGTCCCTGTGATGGACTGGAGACCTGTCCAGGGTGTCCCCGGCCTCTCACACATTGATAACTGGACATGAGCACCAGTGACCCCCGCAACCTGAAAAGGATGAAGTAGAAAAGATGATGGATGTACAAGTATAAGTAAAGCAATGGTATCTGTGTCAGATTATGCACACATATCCCACTGTTTTTGCTAAAGAAAGATAAATTGGTGTTGTTATGTCTAACTGAGATCTTGAAATGCTGGTCACATCTGAGAGTGTGCACAGTTTTAGGATGAACCACACAGATACAAAAAAAAAAAGCTAAAACCACAGAATCCATGCAGAGAACGTTTGTGGAATCATTTTAAAGTGACTGCACATTTTGTTTCTCAACTTTGAAGAACAAAACTTGTTGAATAGACTGTAAATGTGTGAATTACAGTTAATTACCCGCAGTTATAGTTGCCAGTTATTCACTTTGAAATCAATAGAAAACACCATGGTATTCATTTTTATTTTATTTTTTTTAGGGGGAGGGGTGAAAAAGCAAATAGACATTTTTTTTTTAAATGTATATATGTTTTTTGCATCAATATAGACTGTCATCAAAGTAAAATGGAAGTCTAGCAATCACCGCTGTCAGTAAACTGCAGTTTGCTTGTTTTTTTTTTTTAACAATTCAGCAAATACATATTACATAAAAAAATTTAAAAAAATTCTTGCAAAATTCTACAATATGCTCAAAATTATTTGAAAACGTT